TGGGGCCGCGGAGTAGAGGTTGGCAAAATGCGGATAATCTATCCGGATAATCTATCCGGATAACCGAATAATATAATTGAAACATTGTCCGAATTCAGACTCTTTAACTCCCTTTCCTGGCACTTTTGCCGAAGTGGGTGTACCCATTTGTTGAAGTGATGCTGACCCGTTTGTCGAAGTGGTTCTAACTTAATCCGTTTGCCGAAGCGGCTCATATAATTAAATTTAATTTTTTTTTTTTGGCCAAAGAGATGCGCTAACGTTTTATCCGGACTTTGCTAAAGAAGCGACTCATTGCCCAGCCCTACCGCGAAGCCGGGCTCTATTGACCAATCCTGTGGGTCATGCTTTGGCCGTTTCTTTGTGTGCAGTGCGGTGCTTGTGTGACACTACTGTTGTACTCGAGCGACGGGAGTCCGGCTCCACTTTCACGCCACCTTGGCCGTCTATAGCCGCTGTTTCCCGGGATACATTTTTACGATTTTATCTTGAGTGTTTTCGGACATCTTCTCTGTGGGCGAAAAAAAGAGAAAGAAATGAAAGTCAGTCTTGGGTAATAGAAAAGAAAATGAGTTGAGAAAAAAAAAAAGAAAATCAGTTGAGGGAAAAAGAGAAAATCAGCTGGAAAAAAAAAAAGAAAACCAGTTGAGAAAAAAAAAAGAAAATCAGTTGAGAAAAAAAAAAGAAAATCAGTTGAGGGAAAAAGAGAAAATCAGCTGAGAAAAAAAAAATCAAAATCAGTTGAGGGGAAACAAGGAAAGCACAGCCAGCCCTGATTTGATCGGCCTTTTGAAGGACCCTGAACTTGAACCAATCGACTGCCAAAGGCTAGTTTTGTAGTTCGTTAATTTTGCCCTCTCCCTGTTATATCCAAGGCTCTAAAAACTTAGAAAAGTGGGAATACTTTAAACTTAAATGACAAATAGTTATACAATGTGTAAAATATAATGAAGGTAGACATTTTTTTAGAAAGAACTTCAGAAAAGAGAACATAGAAAGATCCTGGAAACAGGAGATTCATAGAGTAAAACATACAGCTGTGTGTAGAATGAGAAAAATATCCTACAGTGACCGCCCCCCACCCCCACCTCCCTCCTCATCTCTTTCGCACTCGCTCTCAGTTGAGCCAACAAGACAACACACTCAGACC